CCGGACGCCAAGACCCCATACAAGGCAGACGCCCAACTGGGACTCGTCGGCTCTGTTGTCTGCTCTGAGCAGCCCGCTCTTTGAGCCTCTCCAATCAGCACCACTCAAATTTTTGACGTGGAAAATAGTCTTCCTACTGGCCCTCGCCTCAGGTAGGCGTCAACCAGAGCTGAGGGCATTGTCCTTCTCGGATGATGTACCGCCGTTATGGACAATCAAATTGTGCTAAAGACACGAATCGGGTTTCTCGCCTAGAACCAAATCCCAGGACACGATCCTCACCCGATCGTCATCCCCCGGCTGTCAAATTTTGTCTGCCCGGAGGATCAGGAGGAATTGCTTCTCTACCCGGTTCGAGCACGGAGTTGCCACCAAACCGTACTAAGGATTTGGAACGGGGTGCCAGGCACATATCTTTGTGTTTTGGCCCAGGCAGGCAGGATAGGCCGGCCTCCCCAACTTCCATAACCAGGTGGTTTACTGCGACTGTATTAGAGGTCTATAATACTTTAAATTCCTCGACACAGAGCTTGCAGAGACACCAAGTACGAGCGCATGAGGTCTGTGTAATTGCTAACTCGCTAGTGCTAGCGTCAGCCCCCCCTCAAGCACACATGGAGAGCAGGCTTCTGGAGAACGCAGAAAGTCTTTATCACCAACCACCTAAGAGACATCGAATCCATTGAAAAGGGTCTCTCTAGGTCGGGTCCCGTCTAGTCACACAATGAATATAATAGGGCAGTTTATATTTGTCTCAGTGAATCATTAATTTTTGACATACACCTGTACAAAATACTTGGACAAAAGCCAGCTAAGATTTTCTGTTATCTTGCATGTTTTATGAATCTATTCACGTCTAAATGCAGCACTTTTTTTCTGTGATGGGGCATTTGTTTTTATACTAAAATATCTGAATTACTTTGAATAAAGCTGGAAATTATGTCCCTTAAAATAATTAAACAAATTCGGTAGACTGATTCCCCACTGATGGTTCAACCCCAAAACTTGTTTGTATTCAAAATTAATTATGACAATGCATATTTATATTGAAACAAACTATGATAAAGGAAATAATAGTATATAACAAAGGGCAAGGTCACCAGAGTTCAACTATGTTTAGAAACTTTCATGCAATTCATATTATATTGAGAGTAATACACCCGGTGGGTTCACTCTATATGCTGTTACTACCCCATGTGCATTCCAAATTTAGCGGGAAAGCGGGGTGTTTTTCACCTTCCAGAGCGGGCCCGCGCGAGAGGCAAATAGGCCCCCTTTAAAATGCTAATGTCTGCAATAGACCCGCAGAAATAAACTCACAGTGTTGCTGCGCCCGCTGTAGGCCCTCTCTTGAAACAACCACTCTCATACACGGCCCTAGGTCCCGAATTGGCGGACCCATAGCCCCGACTAGGCTGCAAACGTCCGCCTCAACTTTCCCACTGGGACTTACCCACCACTTCCAACACGAGCATACGGAGAAGGCTTATTGTAATCGAAGAAACGAAACGAAACAGGATATGCTCAATATTTCCAAAATATTTGTCGAAAATAATAATATTTAATATGTACATGGCCCGTTTCGCTAATTACAGATAATCACAAATCTGTAATTAGCAAAACAAGGTTCTTACACATACGAAATTTACAACTGTCGGTGGAAACTTGACCAGTATATTTAGCTTTCATTAGTGTATACAATAACATACATAGTAACTTGTTTGAGCTGATCACAAAAAATGGCAGAGAATGCTCGCAATATGGGGTAAGATGTTCTCAATATGTGTCTGAAATAGGGGGTGTTTTTTTTCTTCAATATGTCTGCTTTAGGGGGTACTAAATTTACATTGCGTCCGCAATAGGGGGTATGGTTTGCCAATGTGCTGCCAACCCTAGGGGCCTATTATTTTTTTTAGCAAGAACGCACATGGTGTAAGGTTTTAATATAGAGTGACCCCCCGGGGTAATACAGTACATGTAGTATTATTCAAGGAAGAGACTTATAATTGCCGCCAATATAATCTTTTCATTCTGAATTCACATTTCCAGAAAACTAGCATTTCCAGTGATTTTTGTTGTGTTAATTACTCTTTTTATTATTTTTCTTTCAGGATTTCATGTTCTTTGAGAAGAGTGGTAACAAAGATGACCAGAGAGGTGTTGGCATGTTCTAAATATGCAATACATTCCAAAAATCTAAATATTGTTAATGGTGTATTAATTTTTTATTTTAAATATTATAATTATAAATATCTGTTCTTGTATATATTTTTATCTCAATTTGATACATGTTGTTATCATTCGGTCACTTGTTAACATTGCCAGTCTGACATGTTGTAACCATCCAGTCACTTGTTAACATTGCTAGTTTGACATGTTGTAACCATTCAGTCACTTGTTAACATTGCTAGTTTGACATGTTGTAACCATCCAGTCACTTGTTAACATTGCTAGTCTTACATGTTGTGACTATCCAGTCACTTGTTAACATTGCTAGTCTGACATATTGTAACCATCCAGTCACTTGTTAACATTGCTAGTTTGACATGTTATAACAATCTAGTCACTTGTTAACAGTGCTAGTCTTACATGTTGTGACGAT